TAAGATTTTATTTATCTATTTGACAGAGAGAGACACAGCGAGAGAGGAACACAAGCAGGGGGAGTGGGAGAGGGAGAAGCAGGCTTCCCGAGGAGCAGGGAGCCTGATGCGGGCTCGAGCGGAAGGCAGACACTTAACGACTGAGCCGCCTAGGCGCCCCAAGAATATTTTTATTTTCGAATAAATAAAAAATGTTTCTTTTTCCCTCTCATCATTTATTTGGTTTCATGGGCCTTCCCGATTAGGGACATGCTTATTTTTGTTTATTAAAGCAATATTATAACAAGTGGAGATGTTCTACAGATGAACAAAGAAGAAAAATCTATGAATAAAAAGTTTTATACCTAACAATTAGGAATTGAGGTTTGGAATTAGGAATTCCAGAGTTTCAAAGTAGAACAGTATTTATTTTAACCCAGACATCTGTAGGACTACAAAGAGGGCATTAGTTGGATATTGGTTGGACTCTAACTCTGACTTGAATCATACAGTTGTTTGACTTGTATGATGAGCCATATCTAGAGGGGAATCAGGATAACACGCCATCCATTCAACACTTCGACAAGACTGTCTTTCCTTACATTTTCTGTGCAGCAGGCTCTAGACTTTCTAGATCTGGTAAGATTGAAGTTCAATTTTGTTCAAACCACTTCCTGTTGTAAAGCAGGATGAATGAATTAGATTGCTTTCCAGATCATCAATGATGATTTTATTTGGAGAAATTTTTACAAGTATAACACCATCTGATTAGAAAACACCAGGTAACTAGATTATTCCTATGTTGCTTTGGAGAATTCCCTGGACTAATCTTTCATTCCACAGGCATGTGTCCAACAAATTTATGTGCTACACTTTAGAGTTTTTTAAGGTGCATACACCCACACACACACACACACACTTGTGTTAATTCTACTATATGTAAATATATATGTCTTAGTTTTACATACATACACACACACACACATAATTAACTGTATTCCCAGGATAATATACACTTCAAAGGTTGTCATTAATACAAGTTTATATGAATTCATATTTTAAATAGTCCTCATAAAATTGCCATTTTCCTTCAAATTTTTGTCCACATTTTTCTTTTTTTTTTCTTAATTGCACTACATGGGTGATTAAGAAATTGTACTAGGAGTATCTTTTCAAGTCTCTTTCCCATTTAGAAGGCCTGTTTAGGTGAGAAAAAGTAATGGTACCCATAAACCATTTACCTGCAGCCCATCTAAATGGTAATACATTTCAACACAAATGACTGATGGTCCTACTGTCACTCTTGCCTCAGGATGCCGCTTCACATATGAACTGAATGAAGGTGCAGGTGTTGATCCATATGTAATTCTGGATTTTTTAAAAACTTTTTTAAATTAAAAAAACACAAGTTTTCAGGTATCTTTTTTTGTTTTCACACATTTCAGGGTATACTCTTTGCAATTTTGAGACCATTTCTTTGCAAAATAACTTTGAAATTTGAAACATATTACCCAAATATTTCTAAGTCAATAGGAATTTCAAAAATGCAAGCATGCTTATAGGAGCCCTAGGACCCAAAGGAGATGGATTTAACTTAGGAGTTTTGAATCTTCTGCCTATCCTCAAAGAAATGTTCAGGTGCTTTACTGTCAATAGTGTATATTTTAAACCACAGGTATTTTATTTCAAATATAAAATTACTTTTTTAGTGTTTTTTTAAAAGATTTTATTTATTTGACAGAGAGTGCACAAGCAGGGCGAGCGGCAGGCAGAGGGAGAAGCAGGCTCACTGCTGAGCAAGGAACCCGATGCAGGGCTTGATCCCAGGACCCTGAGACCATGACTTGAGTTGAAGGCAGATGCTTAACTGCCTGAGCCACCCAGGTGCCCCACATTTCAGTGTTTAATATTCCTTTTCAAACTATGGTTCTCTCTGCCTCTCAACCCACTTTTCCCAATTCTTTTTTGTTTGTTTTTAAGAGAGAGAGAGAGAGAGAGCACACACGCGAGCAGTGGGGAAAGGCAGAGGGAAAGGGAGGGAGAGAATCTTAATCAGGCTCCACACACAGGCAGAGCTGGAGGGGTTCTAAATCTCATAACCCTGAGATCATGACCCTAGCCCAAAACAAGAGTTGGTTGCTTATCTAACTGAGCCACCCAGGCACCCTGTCACTTCTCCCAATTCTGACTGCACTTCACCCTGATGATCGTGCCACCTTATGCCCTACCTCAAGATTCATTCTATAGTGCCGAGATTTTCAATTGGGGCCAATTTTTACCCTTCAGGGATCATTTGGTAATGTCTGGAGATAATTTTGGTTGTCACTATGGGTAGGGAGTTTGGCATCTAGTTGGTAGAGGCCCAGAATGCTGGTAAACATCCTCAAATGCACAGGATAGTCCCCACAGCAAAGAATTTTCTGGTCCAAATGTCACAAGTACCAAAGTTGAAAAACTGTAATGGGATAATTGCTGGGTTTGAGATTTGCAGAAGGGTAGAGACAGAGCAAGGTATCTATGAGAGAGGACTAAACATTTTACCTAGAGATGAGGGGGCTAATGCAGAGTGATCTAGACCAATGCTTCTCAAAGTTTAATGTGCACAGGGATTTTGTTAAAATGCAGATTTCCATTCAGTATGTCTAGATGAGTCCTAACATTCTGCATTTCTAACAAGCTCCTAAGTAACACTGATGTTTCTTGTTTGGGGCCTGCATTTCAAGTTGCAAGGAGCTAGGTAATTCAGTCTATGGCTACTTAGGAAGATGTCTGAGAAAAAGGACTATAAGGGAGGAATAATTCCATTATGTCTCAATTAGAGATCTGGAATATCTGTAAGAACTATCTATCTATCCTAAGAATATTAAGTTTCAAATATAATAGTCTCTTCTTCCTACTCCCAGTTCCTACTCTACACAGTTTCAACTAGTCTAGTGACTTCTTTTGGCACTTGAATCCCTATTACTAAATAACGTTCTGATACTGTTACTTGCTGGGTTTTTGGCTGGGGACACTTAACTGATTTCATACAAAAGAGAATAGGATCAAACTCTTATGGCCCAGCTTTTCTCCTCCTCACATGCATATATTTTTCCCAACCCCATTCTCTGGAGGAGTCTCATTGTAATTTTTATTAGATTGGCATTCCCACCCTGTTATACTATAAATTATGAATATATAATTATAATTCATAGTTAAGCTACTGATCATGATTACTTTTCTTGAACAAAAAATTTGTTTCATGAAATTATTGCTTATTTTTTCTTAGCTTAGTAATATCCATACAGAATTAACATGCAAATTCTCTGATGAAGTCTGATTCACTTTTCTTATCTATAGGCACATGAGGCCTTTAATCTATTTCATCCTTTTTAAGAAGAGATTCTTTCTGGAGCTCTTATTTTTCTGCTTCACAATTCTCCAGACACCCTGAAAGTCTTTTATTCTAGATTTTCTTTCACGTCACCTGGGGCATCCCTGACCTCCCTCTGTACTTTTCCCCATCTCCTAATTCCATGTCTTCCTTTTCCTTGGCTAATTTCCTTGTATGATATAACATATTATCTAGTAACTTCCTGACTGAGGATCCATGGGAGGAAAATACTTTGAGCATTAGCATGCTCCAAAATGTCATTATTTTCCTCTTGCAACTGATGGATGGCTTGACAGGGTATAGCTTTTAGGGTTGAAAAATATTGAACTGTTGTTAGTGAAAGCATTGATCTATTATCTTCCAGATCCTGATGTTCTTATCAGGAGGTCCAAATCTGTGCTTTCATTTCCTAGGTCTTTCTGAGCTTTGGTGTCTCTTCTAGGCTTTCCCGACTGATAGTGTTCGGCATTTTTTGATAGACTAGGCAGATCACTACTATTCCAATAGTTTCTCAACTTCCAACTGTTGCTCTCCTCTTCTATAGCCTTTGTCCTCATGCCTCTTCCATAAAGGTATGAATCAACAAGGACAAGATGGATTCAAGAAACACAGTCTAGAAACCATAAAGATAAAAGAAATTTGAGATTTTCAGGAAGGAAAGGATCTGTCCTGAGCCTAGTCTGTGACTGGTGCAGTAAGTCTGTCAAGTTCCCCAACAGGAGGTAAAGTAACATTCTTTAAATACCTGTATGCTGCATTCTTCATATATGTAATGTCATTTAATCTCTTTAATAATTTCAAGGTAAGATACGGGTGCACAGAGAGATTTATCAATTTGCTTAAGAAAGAAAGTGCCAGTAATTAGATGCAGATCCTTTCCCTGAAGGACTAGAATAAAAGATCCTCAGTATAAATAGAAAGGCAATGCCTAGAACACAAAGATGAAGTCCTAACTCTGCTGAGGCATGACTCACCAACATGTGTTCTAACCAGTGCAGCAGACATTTTTATACTTTTATCCATTGTTCCAACTGATGGAAAACTTTTTAAAACTAGGTTTCTTTGTCCGGAGCTTCATAGACTAAATACATTTTTATTCTATGGATTTCTTGAACTAACACAGAATCTTTTTAAGAAAACTCCTCAATAAATGTTTACTTTTCTTTACTCTGGTGATAATTTTTTGTGGTACCAGTAGTGAGGAGGTTAGGGAATGTGTCCATTGGATAACATGTTATTATTTTCCCCTGCTCCCTCAAATGGTCCTAAATTCCCATTAGCTGCCATCAATCATGTAATTGATGTTTCTTGGAGGAAACTTCTATGAAGTAGGAAAAGAAAAATCACAAAATGTAAGATCATCAGAAGAGCAAGGCAACTAAAAACCCATATCCTTATTTTGGAGTAAAGATGATGTTTGAGGAATACAGTAACAAAAATTCTTCATCATGGGTGGAGAAGTTTGGAGAAAGTGCATTCATTGTGTAAAGTAATTGAAACCAATAAACCGCGGGATGGGCCAACCATGGACTGTCATCAGACACTCATGGTCATGTGGTAAACACTTGTGGCTGGCTGAGATGTGTTTCTTTGCTGAGTGAGACACTCCAGGGTTTATGCCCAATATATGATTCTTTCTTCCTTTCAGGTTTCTGTCCCACAATTTTCCAGTGATTCTACAAGGAGCAAAATTCATAAGCAAAAGTTTTGAGCTAAATACGTAACCATCAGTAAGTATTTAAGATGCGTTTATTTTGTGTTGTTTTTATTTTCTTCATACCTGATATGTTAGGCAAAAAAACAGAAAAACAAAAACAAAACCTGAAAAATTCTATTTCCCCAAGTTCTTGAATGATAAGGTATTTATGATTTTGACTCTCAGTGTATTATTTGTCCAGGTATATTCCTATTTTCCTTCTTTTATTTTGCAATATTCACTAGGATGTTAGTATGGAAAATAAAATATGACTTATGTAGGTTATAAAGATAGATTACATGTGTAAAAAAATTCTAACCTCAAATTAGGAAGATGAAAATTTCCTATAATTTATTTTTACAAAAGTTACTGGAAACATTTGTAAGAATTTTTTGAAAACCTCTCAAAAACATGACTAATTTATTCATATTAGTAGAAAATTGGAAAAAAATGGATTTTGGCAAAACCACATATAAGATACTATTGCCATCTCAACTCTTGTATGCTAAAATGGTGACAGAATCAAAAAATATGAAGACTAAAAATGATATATTAAGCAAGGAACTTCTTAAAGTTATAAAAATGAAATTAGAATCTTAATTTTAAACCAAAAAATGATGTTCTAGATTCCAGTCGCAGATGCAAGTGGTCACTTAACAATTTACCTTAGCCTGGTTGACTAACATCAGTGAAAACTTAAATGACTCAGAAACTGTAGTGAAAATTCAAGTAAGAAGTTCTGGAGTGATAATGGGAGTCCCAGTAGACACCTTGAAAAATTTAGACCCTCCTTCAACTTCAATCTGCTCTGCTGTTAGGTTCTACTACTAAGATACTAATTTTTGAAAAAGAGGATGAGACTAGGAGTATGAGTAAATAGGTAAATGAGTAAAATACTGGAGAATCTTGGGCACCAAGAATAAACTACTTGATCACCAAAAATAGCAGTAAGAATATCCCCTTCTCAATTTGTACTAGCATCAGTCATCATCTTGCCTAGAATCCTTAAGGGATTTTGTTTTATTTTGAAAAAAAAATTCAGTTATTACTAGTCCTCTTACAATGATATTTGTCTCATTAATATCCAATTTCATCTCTGCCCCTCTTTCCTTGACTCTAAGAAGATGAAATAATGATAAATGCAATATTTTGAAAATATTGTAAATGGAAATAATATGAAATACATGAAGTACGAATAAGCACATAACTCAAGTGAACAGATATGAGCAAGTTCATACATGTGAGACACAAGGAAGTGGCAATTTCATCATAAGGATGCCTGGATGATAGTGATCATAAGCCAACTTTGGTTATAAGATGCATCCTGATTTCAGAGATGTTAAAATGTGAACAATATGTGCGTATTAGAATTGATGAAATATGACAATTCTCTTTTCGTGTTGGGTTTACAGTTTGGCTTATCTATTGAAAATAACTTTTTTTATTTTAATGACTTTTTTTACGGCTTTATTGAGCTATAGCTTACATAGCATGAAGTTTACCCATTTAAAGTGTATTGATTCAATATTTACAGACTTGTGCAACCATCACTGTAATATAATTTTAGAACATATTAATCAGCCCTCAAAAAATCTTGTACCTCTTAGTCTTTCTCCCCATTCCCCTGACTCTCCTTCATCCATTTAATAAAGTTCTTATTTAAATATAAATGTTACTAAATAACGTTCTGATACTGTTACTTGCTGGGTTTTTGGTTGGGGACACTTAATTGATTTCATACAACAGAAAATAGGATCAAACTCTTATCAAACAGGATCATAGGGGAAGGGAAAATAACTAATTTATTTTGTACATACACACTTGTTACCTGTTAAGAACTATTTATTTACTTGTTATAGTCTAGTGTGCTTCATGGACACAGTCCCATTGGCTTTCAGAGCTAGGTGTTTTGTGTGGGAAAGGAGGGACTCATCCTTCAGTGGGTGTCTTAAAAGCTGGAGCCCCAAATGTGGGGTCCAACCCTTTGCACCATAGGGAGAAGTTGGGAGTTTCTTCCCAATTGTATGGTGTTTTGCAGGTGGTGGGGTTTGTGTCAGGAGTGTGTCTCAGCCTTTCCTACCCATTCTGATGCGGGTGATGGTATTTTCTCATTCATCTGATATTTAGGAGCCACTTAGCTAGTTTCTGGATTTCTTTCAGAGGGAATGGCTCTGTGTATAGCTGTAGATTTGCTATATCTGTGGGAGGAGGTACATTCAGGAAGCTTTCATGTTACCATCTTGGATTGGAACTGCCTCTTTGATTTTTTTGAAGTCTAGGTATTTATTTTAGTTTGGAGTGTTGAAAAATAAAGATCTGGTAAAGCTTTTTGTAAGGGCTTGCAAGGCATGATGTTGTTTCAAAAATGAATATGTCAGTAGTATGTAGGATGCATTAAGGAGGATGAATATAGGATCAGAAGATTTGTCTTGATATTATTGTAGTGGCGTGAATTACTAAGGATCTGAAAAAAAGTAGTAGCAATGAAATAATGAAGCTGAATATCAAGAAAAGTGAAGTTTTTGGCTATCCTAGCATTGAAAATTATGGTAATGGCCTTTTAATTGATATTTATTTCCAAGTTTCTCTACTATTTCACTCATCTCTCTTAGGCTATAATAGTCTAATTTCACTTAGGACAAACAAAAAGCCAAGTTGATATTTCTGAAAGCCTGGCATATATAAGAGAATATGTCCAGCATTTCGTGTATAGTTGTTACCCAAAACTGCGTTTGTCTCCCGATGGGTGCTGAGTCAAAAGACACAATCAAAGAAGCTGAAGAATAGGAAAAGGAAGGGTTTTACTTGCAACAAGTAAAAGAGAACACTGGATCTTTCCCAAAGCAGTGTCTCTCTCCCTGAACAACAAAATTGAGGAATTTTTAAGCTAAAGGTGCATACATATTCATGAAGGGGCTTGTGCAATGGGGCATACTGCATAAAATTGGGGCAAAAGTCATCTTAAGGTGACTGAATCCGGGTCAAAGTCTTGGGGTTGGCAAGTGTCAGCATCATCAATTCTCTGGCTCCAGTTTGTCTAGTATCTGAGTGCTCAAAGGGGTTTAGGTCCTGCAAAGACAATTTAGGAGTGTGCTTCAGGTCATCTTCACTTTTGAATATGATTATATGTTTAGAGTGTTGGGGTTCAGAGCTGACAGTCAAGAAAGAATTCTTGAGACATCTTTGGTACAAAAAAGGTGATTTTGTTAAAGCACAGGGACAGGACCTGAGGGCAGAAAGAGCTACTACACTGGGGTTGTAAGGAGTAACTAATTATTAAGATTTTCTATCCTGTACAAACGTAGTGATCCAAAGGGGCACCACACCCCAATGTTTATAGCAGCAATATCCACATTTGCCAAACTATAGAAAGAGCCCAAATGTCCATCGATGGATGAATACACACACACACACACACACACACATATATATTCCATTCCATACACACAATGTAATATTACTCAGCCATCAAAAAATGAAATCTTACCATTTGCAACGACATGGATGGAACTAGAGGGTATTATGCTAAGTCAAATAAGTCAGTCAGAGAAAGACAATTATCACATGATTTCACTCATATGTGGAATTTAAGAAATAAAACAGGATCATAGGGGAAGGGAGGGAAAAATAAAATAAGACAAAATCAGAGAGGGAGATAAACCATAAGAGACTCTTAACTATAGGAAACAAACAGGGTTGCTGGAGGGGAGGTGGGTGGGAGGATGGGGAACTGGGTGATGGGCATTAAGGAGGGCATGTGATGTAATAAGCACTGGGTGTTCTATGCAACTGATGAATCACTGTACTCTACCTCTGAAACTAATAATACGCTATACGGAAAAAAAAAAGATTTTCTATCTATGGAGGGGAGGGTGATATTGAGTGTATAGGTTTCTAGAGACTGCTTTTTTCTTGTGAATCATTAAGACAGTTGCAAACTGAGACTCGTGTACTGCATGACTATGATTTCTCTCTGCTAACCATTTGTCCCTTCCCTTTGTTCTAGGATGGCCAGCAGTGCCTGAGGAATGTCACATATATCCCACCTTGCGGATTGGGGGATATGGTGGGGTGTTAATTTGTGCTTTGCCCTCAGCTTGCCTTCTCCTCTCTCATCAGTTAGGCTCTCTCCTGGCCTGATAGTGGCTGATTGTTCTTACATTCTTTCACAAGATGGCTGGGGGCTAAAATGACTTTTCTTATGTCAGGAAAGCTATGTCTTTCTGTCTTTATCTGGAGAGTACTAACTCTTTCTGCTTACACAGTGTCTGATTTAATGCTTACAACAGTCCTGAGATAGATGGTGTGGTGCCCAACTGCAGTGTCTCTTGATCAGATGGGGGTCTCCATATGTGGGGTGACTATCATGTGGAAGACCACAATGCAGGAGGTGAAAGAATTCACCTAAGGCAGATAGGAGATAGAAGTTTCTCGACTACTCCAAAGGGGAGCTGTAGTCAGGACAGCAGAGGAGAGGTTGTCTGCAAGGAGGCAATGGGTGGGGACTGTGTTTAAGGGGAAAGATGAGGAAGTATGTCGACAGAATGGAATTCTCCCTTTTTTGGTAACTGTCCCTGGTTGTAAGTAACCCACTGGTCAGTTAGGGCCTATGGATATTTTGAAGTGGGTTGCCTGATGGGCCTGTCTATATTCCATTGCTCAAGACTGTTTGCCTAAAAGCAGCTTCTACAGATGACATATCTCAAATCAAAGATGAAGCCCATAGAAGATTATCAAGATTAAGGAAATGGAGAAATAGACATGGATCCAGAATTGAAACCAGGTAGTCAGGTTTTAATGTCCAATTCATTTCATTATTCCATGAGGCTTTTAAAAAAAAACTATTTTTTAACATAATTTCTTTTCAACAATCTAACCATACTGAGATAGGGAAACTGAAGGACTCCATAAAAATCTGCTTTTTTTTCTCCTTTCTGCTTCTATTCTTGCTAGGACTTGCACCCCTCACTTTACATGTTTCATAATGCACAGAGTATATGTCCTCCTTGTAAGTGACAGGAAGTTAATGATTTCTTTAGAATAGATAACATCTAAGGAAGGATCAAGTGAGAATGACTGGACAAAGCCAGTCATGTGCTCATTCCAAATCACTGGAGCTAGACATCTCGATGCCAAGACCCCCAGGCTCCGAGGAATAATTGATTTATGAAAGACACCTGGGCGCTCATCTTTGTTCTAAACAGTTCCTGGATGCCTGAGAGGAAACATACATCAGACCACAATCCTCAATAAAAACCCCAGACATCAAGCAAAGACGATACTCTCTCTCCTTTCCTTTCTGAGTCTCCCAGACATTCTGTCTGTATCTTCGCACTCTTTATACCTTCAATAAACTGTGCTCCCACCTCCTGCTGGCTTGCACGTAGCACTTGATTTCTATCCTGCACGTAGCCAGGAAGCCTCTTGGCTGGACCTGTGGGAACCCTCTCTGGGTCCTCTGACCCAGCCTGCCTACATCAGTATGATCCAGCAATTCCACTCCTGGGTATTTATCTGAAGGAAACAAAAACACTAACTTAAAAAGACCTGCAACTCTTATGTTCATTGCATCATTATTTACAACAGCCAAGACATGGAAGCAACCTTAAGTGTCCATTGATGGATGAATAGATACAGAAAATGTGATATAGATAAATAAATACACACACACACACAAATCACACTATGGAATATTATTTGGTTATAAATAGAAGGAAATCCTGCCATTTTTGACAATATGGGTGGACCTTGAGGGAATCATGCTTTGTGAAATAAGCCAGACAAAGAAAAATACCTTATGATCTCACTTATATATGGAATTAAAAAAAAAAAAAAGAACTTACAGATACAAAGAACAGACTGTAGATTGGTAGTTGCCAAAGGAGGAGTTTGTGGGGTGGGTGAAATGGGTGAAAGGGGTCAAAAGATTTAACTTCTATTATAAAATAAATAAATCATGGGGATATAATATATAACATGGTAACTATAGTTAATAAAACTCCACTGCATATTTGAAAGTTGCTAATTTAAAGTTCCCATTACAAGGAAAAAACTTTAAATATGTATTGTGATAGATGTTAAATAGACTTATTGTGGTGACCATTTTGCAATATATACAAATATTGAATCATTATGTTGTATGTACACCTAAAACTAATATAATGTTATATGGCAAGGATACCTCAATTAAAAAAAAAAGAATAAAAACCTAAAATGCATTCATTATTTGGCCAAATTATACTGTTGTAGATAAGCTATAACCATGGCCCTTACCTAATTACTCTCTAATCTACATGGTTTTCTACCTTTGGGTATTTATGGCAGCCCTCATAGGTGTAAGAACACCTATCACACAGATGTTAGAGCATTTCATACCTGAGAAGCTCCACTTCTTTCACAGAGGTGTAGGTCGACCTTGTCCTGGAGATTGGTTTTAGAATGTTTTGTGGTTGCTTTTTTGTTTTTGTTTCTGTTTTTGATGAGAACAGAGCCAATTGCCTAAGATATTAAGCTTTGTTCATTATTAAACAAAAGCTGGAACTCAGGTCTCTTCACTCAAACTTTATATAGGAGATGTCTCCCTTTAGCTCTGTTCTTTCCTCATGAGGGAATATCTTCTTTTTTTCTGAGTACATTTTTCATATAATCCGTTCTGATAATGGTAACCAAATTGCTCTTTCTCATTCTCGCCTATTCTAGCTGATGCTGATGAATTTAGCATTTAACTATGAACTCTCTCTTATATTTAGATTTTCATATTTTCTTATTTCCTACCTAGACTGTCATACACATTTTTTTTTTTTAGATTTTATTTATTTATTTGACAGAGAGAGACACACAGCGAGAGAGGGAACACAAGCAAGGGGAGTGGGAGAGGGAGAAGCAGGCTTCCCGCTGAGCAGGGAGCCCAATGTGGGGCTTGATCTCAGGACCCTGGAATCGTGACCTGAGCCAAAGGCAGACGCTTAACGACTGCGTCACCCAGGCGCCCTTGTCATACACTTTAACATTTTATCAGTTTCATGTTTTTTGACATATATATATATATATATATATATATATATACTCCAATCAAGACAATGTATACACTACAAATCAAGATAATATTTAACACCCTGAAAAATTTCCTGTGCTATTATTTAGTTCATTCCCCCCCACATCCATTTACAGGCAAGCACTAATCTGCTTTTTGTCACTGTAAATTAGTTTGCATTCTTTTTTTTTTTTTTTTTTAGATTTTATTGATTTGAGAGAGAGACAGAGATAGTGAGATAGAGAGCACAAGCGGGGAGGAGAGGGAGAAGCGGGCTCCCCACAGAGCAGGGAGCCCGATGCGGAACTCGATCCCAGGACCCTGGGATCATGACCTGAGCCGAAGGCAGACGCTTAACCCACTGAGCCACCCAGGCGCCCAATTAGTTTGCATTCTTAACAAGATGATATAAGTATATAAATATATATTAGTGAAGTGTCTGTTCAAATTTTTTGCCTATTTGTTTATTGGATTGTTTATTTTCTTATCGAGTTTGAAACTTCTTTATATATTCTAACTGCAAGTCCTTGATGATAAATGTGTTTTGCAAACATTTCTTGGAAGTTTGTGGTTTTTGTTTTCAATCTCTTTCAAAGATAAGAACGTTTTAATTTTGATAAGGTTCAATTTACTATTATTTTTCCTTTTATTAATCATACTTTTTGTTTTTTAGACATATATATTGTAATTTTTCTGTTTTCTTCTAGCAATGGCTCCAGTCTTATTTATTTAAAAGATTATTATTTTTCTATTGAAATAACTTTGCACTTTTGTCAAAAGTCAGTTGTATATATTTTGTTATTGAGTGACTATTCACTTCAGTTTGACCTTTTTTTTTTTTTTAAAGATTTTATTTTTTTTTATTTATTTGACAGAGAGAGAGACACAGCGAGAGAGGGAACACAAGCAGGGGGAGTGGGAGAGGGAGAAGCAGGCTTCCCGCAGAGCAGGGAGCCCGATGTGGGGCTCGATCCCAGGATCCTGGGATCATGACCTGAGCCGAAGGCAGACGCTTAACGACTGAGCCACCCGGGCGCCCTCAGTTTGACCTTCTTGATGATTTCGTATGTCTATCACTATGAAGTATCCCCTCTTATCACTGATATTTTTTATTCCAGTATTTCTTTACTTTATATATATTAATACAGCCACTGCAGCTTTCTTCTTGTTAGTATTTGCATCTTGTAACTGATTGTATCCCTGTATTTTAAGCTAGTTCTGTGTGCATATACATAGAACTAGGGTTCATATTTATATTACACTTGGGAGTGTATTTTTATATCACAGTTATAGAGACAACACATACTTGGACCTTGCTTTTATATCACTGCGGACATTCTAGGATTTATAATCTTCATCTTTAACTTATCACTGTATACCTCTATATGAGAGTATGTTAATTACACTTGAATTAGAAAAAAAAGTATACATGCACATTGTAAGAACCTTTTAATAGCATACTTCTTTCATCCTCTCATCCTTTGTTATTATTATGTATTTTAGTTCTTCATATCTTGTGAGCAACAAAATACCATTTTTTTCATTAAGCCATCAGTTATATTTAAAAATTTTTTTAAAATGAGAAAATAAGTCTATAATACTTATACAGTTATTAATCATTTTTAGCACCTTTAATTTTTGTTTTTAATCTAGGTCCAAGTTTCTGTCAGGAGTCATTTTCTGTTTGCCTCTAAAACTGTTTTTATGATTTACTGTAGTATAAGTGTTTTGGCAACAAATATCCTAGCTTTCATTAGTCTGAAAAATCTCTATTTTTATTTTTCAGGAATATTTGTTTAGCTACCAATTCTAGTTTTCAGTTCTCTTTTTTTCTTCTGGCTTCCATAATTTCTAATAGAAATTCTATAGTGATTCTTAATTCTAATTACTCTTTGAAATAGTATGATTTTTATTCTTCTGGTTTTAGGAATCCATTATTACCACTGGTTTCTAGCAGTTTGATTGTGGTATGTCCTTGTAGAGAGCAAAATGGAGTCTCTCACGTCAAGCAGGAGCCCATGTCAAGCAGTGATGCAAGCAGTTAAGGTACTGCAGCTAGGAGATACCGCCAGGACCAACGTCAGCTGACACCCCAGAACTGATAATGAGCAGAACCAGAGGAGGTCTGCAGGGACCCAAAACTGATTAAATCCCTTTAAAAAAGAAAAGGATTTTCAGGTCAGACTCTTCAGACCTGACCCCTCTATGTCTGACCACTTAAAAAAGGCAACTGGCACCGAAGGCTCTGCGCGATGGATCTCTGAACAGAACCGAGATCCTGCACAGCTTGAACGTCAGAAGCAGTAAGTACCGAGAACCGACCCGGACCAGATCGAGGCCTTATCTTAACTACACGCTCACAGACTGACTTTGTGTTTGGTTCCTTAACTTCCTACACCCTCTGTTACCTTGTTTGTTGTGTGGCTTGTCTTCTGTCCCACTGTGTGCTGTGTAAGAAGCCAAGTTTAAACACATGGTGAAATGTCTGGAATCCTGAACCTGCTTTATCATTGTGATTTAACTTTGCCTTATTCAAGCTGACATTGTGGAAAGACACAGCTCGTGTGTGTGCCTTCCTAGTGTGCTCATGACAGTCCTGGTGTGAATAATACTGTGTATTCTGCTTGAGGTTCATTGAGCTTTGTTGGATCTGTGGGTTTATAATTTTCAAAATATTTAGAAAATTACTGTTATTATTATTTATTCAAACATTTTTCTGTCCTCTCCCCCACACTGACGTATACTCAAATCTTCTGAGATGACAGTTACGTGAATGTTAGATTGCTTGATACTTTCTAGCTGGTCACTGAGGCTCTGTCCATTTTTTTTTTCTCCCTGTTTCAATTTTGTTAATTTCTGTTGTTTTATATTCAAATTCACTAATCTTTTCTTTCTTCTGCATTGTCTAATCTACTCTTTATTCCATCCTGGAGTTCCCTATTATTGACATTTGGTTTTTATCCTTTCATTTTTGAATATTTTCCATTTCATTCCTCATGTTTAATTTTTCTTTTAAATCCTCAAATAAATTTTGCTAAGCCTTTGCTTTTACTTTGGGATCTGGTTCTATTGACTGTTTTTTTGGTAACAAGTTGCCTTTTCCTGCTTCTTCCTATATCTAACAATTTTTGATTTGGTGCTGTGTAATTTGTTTGGCATGTAGCTCCTTAGTTATAATTTTCCTGATTATCTTTATGACTGGCAGAAAAACCATGTCAATATTTTTATTTTAAAATTATACCTTTGCGGGGCGCCTGGGTGGTTGTTGTTAAGCGTCTGCCTTCCGCTCAGGTCATGATCCCAGAGTCCTGGGATCGAGCCCCGCATCGGGCTCCCTGCTCAGCGGGAAGCCTACTTCTCCCTCTCCCACTCCCCCTGCTTGTGTTCCCTCTCTCGCTGTCTCTCTCTCTGTCAAATAAATAAATTAAAAATCTATAAAAAAATAAATAAAATTATATCTTTGCCTAACAATCATTTATTTGGCATATACAATATGTAAGACATTAAGTAGAATCAGCCAGTCCTTTGTGGAGTCCCTCATTACTACTTACTATACGTACCTAAACTATTGGTAGTCCTGGTGAATACATTCCAAGAAAATATGGAGAACATATTGACATGGACTTATAGCAAAACAGAATATACTCCAATAATACACTTTCTTAAAGGAAATACTTTTTAAGCTTTCAAGTAATATAGCAGGTAGAGAGCTATAGGATAGATTATGCCTGTAGAAAATGTTTACTATTTAATATTTCTGTACAATGGATTTTTATATTTCTTGCAAATTTGTTCTTGTTTGTTTTCAAACAAGCAAAATACTCTTGCTTATTCAGAAAATGCTTATTAAACAATGGTATACATAAATCTACTTTTTAATAGTAGAAATATAAATTATCTTGCTTATAAAAATGTGTTGGGAAAATGTTTTGGGGAATTATAGATTGCTAAAGAAAAATTAGAAGTCGAATGTTTCCAAATCATTTGAGGGAACCTAAAGCTACCCTATGACCACATATTTAGGCCGTATTTGTTTGTTATTGTTGTGTTGTAAGGGTTGGGGTTGGAGGAGGCAAATTATTATATCCCTTTTTTTCAGGTTTCAAATAAATTGAGAATGGACCATAAAGTCAGATAGGGATAAGAATACAGCTTTAGCAACGGTAAGGCTTGATTGGAGAATATGGCTTGGACCAGTAATGAAAATTGGTGCATACTATGGCCCATCCTGCCATAGACAGTAGAGAGCTAGAGAGTTTCTAGTGGCACTGCAGGGTGGGGAAGCCCTGCAACTGTGAGTTAATCAAATGTAGGAGAGTGGTGAGGAGGGGATGGCAAGGTTCTTGTGGAACCCAGGGGTTAGTCAAGTATTAATGGCATTCATTTTCCAGTCTTATGTCATATTTCTTTTGTGGGAAGAAATGAATAACTTGTGGGGGAGATAAAAGCTTCTTCCCCAAAACTTCATTAAGACAGTGGAAGACAGGGGAGTGAAGGGAATATTTCTCCTTCCAATGGCCATTTTGTTAAAGCAAATAGGCAGACTTTAGATTCTGCTGGTTTTCTGCCCATCACAATGTGTTGTGATCTATAGAGAAAGATAAATGACTATTCACAAAAGTATAGTGAAATTGTCCTGGACAACTCAAGTTAGTAACTTAGACTTTAATGTTTAAATGCTTGAATATTTCATGTGGTTTGAGTTTTCTAAAAGGAATTAAATTATCAGGATAATTGCTTGGTTATTTGCTGTATTACCCTAAGTTATGAAAATAAATAAGGGTAGAATTTTTTCTACATTGCTTATAATTAAGACTTACTACTAATTGTAAAATTAGTCACTCCATTATTTTAATATATTTATACTCAGATTTTATACTTAATTATATATTAAATTATGTACTATATTTATTATATTATTACTTGTTTTATTATTGGCCTATGGGAAAAGAAATGGATATTATTCATCTGAAACCTATTCTACAATGAAATTTACATATTTACACAACTGAGGTAACAGCTGAAGATTAAAAAACAATTAATTGACGTAGCTTGGAGATTGAGGGTCACGTTCCTTAAGAGATAACATGAACTATTCAGAGTTCAGAAGACTATAGATCGAAGTCTTAAAATAACATTGAAACCCATATTTATAATTACAGAAAGATAAGAGGAGCGTCATAAGTGTAGCAAAGATAAAAATCTCTCAATCAGATCTTTTTTCCTTTAACATGGGTCTGGAGATCTCTCTCTCTATATATATGTATATAAAAATTTTTTTTCTTCAATCTCTCAGCCTTTAGTTTAAATGTTTCTAAATTACCACCCTGCCCAGATTTCTGCCTCAATAAATAAACTTATCGAAAAATCTCTTCTCTTTGGAAAAATTTTTCCAATAAGGTAATTAATTAGAGGCTCTGTGGATCTGATATATGCCAATATTTACTAGTCTACTTTGAAACCATGAATCATATGTATGGCTAATGGAAAAGGACTTTAGTATGGATGATAGTTTCCATTCAATGATTTTAATTATAATTACATCATGACTACAAATTAATTATAATTTCCTACCTTACAGTATAGACATTATCTTCAAGATTAACCTCTCCAAAGTTTCTTCAATCATCTCAAAACTCCATGGACATTTCTTCATTATGTCATCTTAACAGTACAGTCAGTATTTGTATATTGTTTTGATCTTTCTTAACATACCCAAAGCTGGAAAAATCATATCCATGTGCCTTTCTTTCCCCAGCTAGATGGACACATGAGAGCAGAGGTT